TACTACTGGAAATGAAATGAAAAATTTACTGGATAACATTAAAAGTGGATCAGAGATGCAGAAGAAAAGTTAGTTAACTTGGAGACAGATCAATAGATATCTAATCTGAAAAATGGGAAAAATTTTAAAAAAGAACTACCAGTGCCTTGTGATAATATCAGGAGGTCTACATACATCTATTTGGAGTGCCAGAGGAAGAGGTGAAAGATAATGAGACAGAAGAAAAATAATTGAGGAAATAATGACCAAAATTTCCCAAATTTGGTGAAAAAAACTTATATATCTGAGAATCTCAGTGAACCCCTAGCAAGATGAATGCAAAAAGAACCACACCTAAACCCATCAGTCACACTGCTGAAAACCAAAGAAAAAGAAAATGTTAAAATGACCAGAGGAAAAGGAATACATTGCATACATTATATGTGAATGATGGCTGACTTCTCAGAAACCATGGAGGCCAGAAGACAGTGAAACAATACCTTTAAAGTGCTGAAAGACCAAAAAAAAAAAAAAAAAAAAAAAAAACCCTCAGTATTTTCTGTTCACAAAAAGTGCTTTGAAGCTTGAAGACAGAGATTTTTTCAGATAAAAGATAACTAAGCCAATTTATTGCCAAATTACCTGTTGTACAAGAAATGCTAAAGGAAGCTGGGCGCAGTAGCTTGTGCCTGTGATCCCAGCACTTTGGGAGGCTGAGGTGGGTGGATCCCTTGAGTTCAGGAGTTTGAGACCTGCCAGAGCACCATAGCAAAACCCCTTCTCTACAAAAAATACAAAAATTAGCTGGCACATGCCTTTAGTTCTAGCTACCGGGAAGACTGAGGCAGGAGGATCATTTGAGCCTGGGAGGCAGAGATTGCAGTGAGCCGAGATCACACCATTGAACTTCAGGCTTGGGTGACAGGGCAAGACCTTGTCTCAAAAAAAAAAAATAGAATAAAAAAAGAAATGCTAAAGGAAGTTCCTCAGGCAAAAAACAAAACAAAACAAATTCAAGTGTTCAGGGATGGATAAAGATTACCAGAAAAGAGAAATATATGAGTAAATATAAAAGACTTCTATTTCTTTAATACATAACACACACACGACTGTTGAACAATTTGGGGGTTGGGTGCTGGCCCCTCGCACAGTTGAAAATCTACATAAAACTTTTGCATCCCCAAAATTTAACTATTAAGAGCCTATTGTTGACAGGCGGCCTTACCAAAAACATAAGCAGTCGATTCATACATACTTTGTATATTATAAGTATTATACATTGTATTATTATAAAGTAAGCTAGAGAAAAGAAAATGTTACTAAGAAAATTATAAGTGCATATATATTTTCATTAATTTCAATAGTCATTAATCGGAAATGGGTTAAAGTTCTTCATCCTGTCATCTTCACATTGAGTAGGCTGAGGAGGAAGAAGAAAAGGAGGGGTTGGTCTTGCTGTCTCAGGGGTGGCAGAGGCAGAAGAAATTCCATGTGCAAGTGGACCTGGGTCAGACGTGGTGGTGGCTCATGCCTGTAGTCCCAGCACTTTGGGAGGCTGAGGTGGGAGGATTGCTTGAGCCCAGGAGGTTGAGGCTGCAGTGAGCTGTTATTGCACCACTGTACTCTGGCCTGTGCAACAGAGTGAGACTACATCTCCAAAAAAGAAGAAAGAAGCAGTATAATGGGCCTGTGAAGGTCAAACATGTGCTGTTCAAGGGTCAGCTGCATATATATATGACTGTCTAAAACAAAAATATGTAACATTGTATTTTGAATGTGTAACACATATGACAGCTATACCATAAATGTTGGGAGTGGAGAATGAAATTGTGTAATTCTGAAGTTCTTAACATTTTACTGAAGTGGTACAATATTAATTCTAAGTGTACTTGATAAAGTTAAGAATGTATGTTGTAATCCCTTGAAAGACATCTAAAAAAATAAAGGAGTATAGCTAAGAAGTCAAGAGAGAAATTCAAATGAAATTCTGAAAAGTATTCCGTTTACCCACAAGAATACAGGAAATGAATAGGGGAACCAAAAATTGATGAGACAAACAGAAAACAAATAGCAAAGTAGTAGACCTATATCCAACTATATCAATAAACTAAATGTAAATAGACTAAATACTCTAATTAAAAGACAGAAGTTGTCAGACTGAGTGAAAATGCAAGACTCAGTCACGTACTGTCTATAGGACATACTTTAAATACAAAGATACAAATGAAAGGATGTGTAGTAGGCAGAGTAATGCCATCACCCCGCCCTAATCCCTAGAACCTGTAAGCTTGTTACATGGGATGGGCATGGTGGCTCACGCCTATAATCCTATCATTTTGGGGGCCAAAGCAGGAGGATCACTTGAGGCCAGGAGTTTGAGACCAGCCTCGGAAACATAGCAAGACCCCATCTCTATTTAAAAATGTTTTTAAATTAGCCAGGCATGGTGGTGTGTGCCTATAGTCCCAGCTACTCAGGAAGCTGAGGTAGGAGGATCACTTGAGCCAGGAGTTTGAGGCTGCAGTGAACTATGATCACACCACTGCACTCCAACCTGGGTGACAGATGATGACCTTGTCTCTGAAACTGTAAAGTGTAACCTTTACCTGGCAAAAGGGACTTTGCAGATGTGATTAAAAATGTAGACCTTGAGATAGGGCGGTTATCTTGGATTATCCATTGGGTCCAGTCTAATCACACAAGTCTTTAAAAGCAGAGAACCTTTCCACGCTGTGGTCAGAAAGAGATGTCACTGGGGAGGAAGGGTTGGAGCGATGCTTCATGCTTTGAAAATGGACAGGGGGGCTATGAGAAAGCAATATAGCCAGTGTCTCGAAGCTGAGAAAGGTGAGCAAGAGAGACCCATGTGGAACTTCTGATGATGATGTCTGACTTCTGACCTACTATCATCTCACAAAACTCTGAGGTAATAAGTGTATGTTGTTATAGACCACCCAGTTTGTGGTCATTTGTAACAGCAGCCGCAGAAAACCAATATGGCATAGAAAAATGTACCTGACAAGAGCTTCAAAAACCATGAAATAAAGAGTGACAAAATTAAAGAGGGAAATCCAGTCACAGTTGGAGATTGCAGGACCTTTCCCTCTGCAGTTGATAGAATAATTAGACAAAAACAAACAACAGCAACAAAAAGTAGCAAGGACATAGATGTTCTGAACAATACTGTAACCACCGTGACCTAATTGACATTTTTAGAACACTGCACCTGGCCAGCTTCAGAGTACACATTCATCATTCTTCCCCTGTGCATTTGCTGCATCCACCAAGGTAGACTGCATGTTGGGCCATAGCGCACATTTTGGATAAATGTGAAAGGACTGAGATTATATCAGGAAAAACAAAGGAAGAAATCACACCAAATATGTTCTCTGGCCCCACTAGAATTAAATCGGAAATAAGTAGCAACAGATACAGGAAAACACCAAATATTCCAAAATTTAACAAAGCACTTAATAATCCATGGATAAAAGAAGAAATCATTAGAGAAAATGAAAAATATTTTGAACTCCCCAAAAAGGAGAACTGCAATGTTTCCAAATTGTGGTTTGCAACTAAAACAGTGCTTAAAGGGGACTGTATATCATTGAAATCCTTTTAATATGCATTTTCAGCATTCAAAGTGCATTCATCTCTCCAATTAGAAATGACATTTCTTTTGTACTGTACTCTATACATCTATTTTTCACTATATCAATAACATTTTAATGGATCTATTAAATATTTGCTAACATTAGCAACCTCTTCCTTTCTAACCCATAAAAGTCCTTTAAGTTCAAGTACTGTGGTTCTTCTCAGTTTTTTGTCGGTGATTTCTGACACAGTGCATGCTTCTTAGTGAGTTCTCTAGATTTTGAAAGAAAGATTGGACTGGATCTTGTCTTCATGAGAACCCTATGGAGATAGGCAAAATGAGTATAACTAACCTCATGTTACAATTGAGGCCACCCACTTAATGAGCAAGTGACAAAGCCAAGTTTCCAATATTCCTCAAGTGTTTTCTTCTCAGGCTCTAAATTGCTGACGAAAATGCCATTATTAGAAAGAGGTGTCTCCTCGGTAGAAGAACAGATTTTGTTCCAGAGTCAAATATTCAGACCCGATCAGCAGCCAGGTGTGGTGGCTCACGCCTATAATCGGAGCACCTTAGGAGGCCGAGGTGGGCGGATCACCCGAGGTCGGGAGATCACCTGAGGTCGGGAGTTCCAGACCAGCCTGACCAACATGTAGAAACCCTGTCTCTACTAAAATTACAAAATTAGCCAAACGCAGTGGCACATGCCTGTAATCCCAAATTGCTTGAACCTGGGAGGCGGACGTTGCAGCAAGCAAAGATCACGCCATTGCCCTCCATGCTGGGCGACAAGAGCGAAACTCCATCTCAAGAAAAAAAAAAAAAAAACCTTGACCAGCTTATAGTCTTTATTATCTAGTCTTCTGTTCTCTGGGGTCAGCAGAGACTCTTGAAGCCTGTTCGTAAGGCCTATAGGAAGTCGTCTGTGCTGAGCCTGCACTTTCTGTAACAGATGGAAAACCAAGGCCCAGACCTCTTAAATGGCTTTGACTTCGACTACAGAGCTAGTTAGTGGGGGACCAGCACCACGACCTGGCCCCCACCTCCAGCAGGCTTCACCCACCCTTGCACCCTTGCAGGAAGCACTTAGAGGCTTGAGGTTGCCAGCCGTGGGGGGTTGGGACTGTGCAGTGGTTCTCAGCCACCCACACTGGTTGGGCTCTGCGCTGTTAGCTTCGTTTCTCTATTTTCTACCTAGGTTTCAGTTTTTCACTTGGGTTTGTTTCCCCTTTGTCTCTGGTTCAGCTTCCTTTTCCTGTTTGGTTTTAAGTAGTCTAAAAATCAAGTTGCTGTCTTCAGAGGGTCTGTGGTCCTCTGATTATCAGCATAGCCTGGTTGGAGTATAGGACTTGCCTCCTTAGAGTTACTTGTGCTGCCACCTTTCATCCATGGCCACAAGGTGAGTACTGGAACCAATACAGGGGACTGAGGGATGTCAAGAGGAAACCTAGAATCTTAATAGTGAAGAGGCTGTAGAAATCATCCCAGGTCCCTTTAGTATACTGATTGAGAAGCCCACGACCAGAAGGCAGGGGACTTACTTGAGGTTACACAGCAGGTTAGTGACAGTCTACTCACTCTTCAGCCGTTGGTCATGCCATGACATAGGCCTGTGTCTCTTGATGCCTGTGACTTTTAATGGCTTCTGTGTCAAGGAATCAGAAATTAGCTCCTGCCTCAGATTATAGGGAAGAGAGTCTGAGCCATCTAGGGGAATTGTTGTTTAGCTCAGAGGTACAGTTGATGGGGCCTGGCTCTTCTCTCTAGAATGACCTGAGACAGGTTGTTTTTTTCTAAATATAGGCAGAGAGGGTTCTTTTTATTATAGGAACTTCATGAACTTAATAGCAAAAATCCTGACCCTCCACTTGAGAGACTTGTGGCCTTAGGCTGTTGCTGTTTAGCCCGTGTGTGAGCACCAGCCAGTCTACAAACTGCATTATTCATTGCGATTGTTTTTCTAAAGGTGAGATTACATTTTGGACCTGCCTCTCCCCTGCCCTACAACTCTGAAAGATTATAGATGATAGGACAGACAGACTTTTATCCTGTGGGGTTTGGGGCATTTATTTGATTGACTCATTACAGCTTTGTTTTTTAGTATAAAGTAATAATCCCTCACCCTGAAAATTATTTCACAGTTTCCAAAGTCCATTTCACCAGTTTTCTTATTTGAGTCTTTTAACTGTGTTAGATAGATGAGAAAGCTGTCATCACTCCTGTTTTCTAGCTGAGAAAACCTCTGAAAAGTTGTGGGCCTTGTCCAGGGTCACATGGCAGGTTGAGGAACGACTGGAACCAGGGCTCAGCAAGGATGCCCTCATCCGGTGGTTTTCCCAGGACTTGGCACAGGGTCTTTAGAAGCAGTTTGCAGTGAGATGTTAAAATTGATGTGACGGTAGGTAGAGCTTGTCCAGTGCTGCTTATTTTCCAGTTGGCTTTATGTCTGCTCCTTCATTTTATAACTTTCCTTTAACTTTAGACGACTTGTGGGTAGAGCTTTGGAAACAATGCTTTTCATTCCAAAGGCATATGCACTTCCAAAGTCATTTTCAATTGTAAATTGTGAAAAATTCTAGCAGCTTATTCTACCCTGTCAATTACTAATTGCAGAAAATTATATCAGAAGTAGATGGAGAGGAGGCACCGCAATTTCTTTTTCAATTTTAAACTTGTAGAAATCCTAGAAGTTTCCATCTTGTAAAGACCTTGTAGATGATCTACAGTAGATCATCTACGTTAGTGGTGCTTTGGGCATCTTCTCCACTTCAGCCAAAATAATGCTGCTTTTATCTTTTATGTATTCCTTGGTATTTCATTGAGGAAAAAAGAAGTCATAATGTTGTTGGTGGTGATGATTTTCAACTCTGAAGGTCACACTAATCTAGTCCAGCTATTGAGTGCACAGATCAGGAAATTGAGGCCCAGTGTGGAGGAGAACCTATCTACGGGGAGTGGAGTAGTGGCTGAACCAAAGCAAAAGCCCAGGTTTTCTGGTGCCTCCCTCTTCTGTACAAGGCTGCTTGCACTCCACCACAGGTCCCTGGCCTGGCACCGTAGTGACAGTCCTAGTGGAAGCAGCATTTGTGGAGCTGCAGAGTCAGCAGCCATAGAAGCTATGAACTTCTTGTTTTTCCTATGCTGACTGACATGGGGTTACTGTGGCACCTGTGGTGGGGATACAAAGGACCTTTTTATCGTGAAAATATATCTTATCAGCTCTAGCTCTGGCTACAGTCAAGAAATATTTTCTGAGCCCTAACTGTGGATTAGGAGCTAGGAATTCTCTTGAGTGCATGACAACATACAGAGTGCTTTCACTGACATTATTTAATTAACACAATAATCCTGAAAGTAGTGGTATGGGGCATTTTTGTTTTTGTCTTTTTTTAGAGATGAAGGCTTGCTATATTGCCCGGGCTGGCCTCAAAATCCGGGGCTCAAGCCAGTCTCCTGACTCAGCGGGACTGCAGATAGGGGCCACCCCACCCGGCTAGCATTGTTTTTTATTGTTTCTGTTTCATAGAAGGAGAGAGTAACTTAACAAGAGACATAGCCAGTGAATGATAGACCCAGGACTGGAACCTGTGCCTCCTGACCACAGATGCTTTGCCCTTTTGCTCCTGCGCCTGAGTTAGAGCTGCCTCTATCCTCAGGGACTGGTAGGGAGTGAGGAAGACAGCACTCACAGAAATGAGAACCCTGCAGCATAGACAGTAATAAAGAAGGGGCAATAAGAGTTGAGAAGTTGGGGACTGTCAGGGAAGACCTCAAAGCAAAAGTGGGATCTCAGGTGAACTTTGAAGGGTAGGGATGATTTTTTAGAAGGCTCTGGCGGGCCTCATAGGCAAGCAGTCACCCAGGGGCTGCTGTGAGTGCTAGGGACACAATGGCAAACAAGACAGGCAGTCTTGTCCTCAAACTGAGGGCAGAGTAGGGAGGCAGAATATAGTCAAGAAATCATAAACAAGAGATGTGGAAACAATAGAGCAGTGGGGTAGAGAATGACTGGGCCACTGCCTTAGCCAGTGCCCTCAGTGGGGACGTGAGGCAGCCATGTCAAAATCTGAAGAAGAAAATATTGCTGGGAGGGGCAGCAAGTATCCTGAGATGGGAACAGTTTGGTGGGTTCAAGGGCTAAAAAAATAGAGAGGCTGGAGCAACATGAAGAAGGAAGAGTGACAGCAAATAATGGCACAGAGGCCTTATCAGGCCCAATGGCAAAGCCTGTGAGCTGTGCTGAGTTTAGCATGTATGTCAGAATTTAGTTAGGGGAAGCCTTTGGAGGGAGGGTTCTAAGCAAAGGGAAGGATATGTGATAGAAGCTTAAGAAAATCACTCTGTCCCCTATGTGGTAATGGCTGGCAGAATGGAGACAGGAAGACCTCTTGGGAGGCTACTGCAGTCATCCAGGTAAGAGGTGAGGGTGGTTTGGGTCAGCAGTGGAGCAGTCAGGGTAGGTGGTGGAAAGTGGTCAGATTCAGGAAGTGCCGTGGCGCTGCACCTTCCAAGACTATCTGGTTGGTCGCATGTGGGTGTGCGTGAAACATGAGTCAGACATATCTTAGGTGGGTGGTGATTCCTTTCACCACACTGGGACAGCTGGGGTGCTAGCTGGAGGAATCCATAGGGATGTGGGACTAGCAGAACAGGTTCCCAGGAAATGTGGGTTGAACAAGGCTGACCTGAGCAGGAACTAGCTGAGATCGTGGTTCAGCAACAAGAAGCATGATATGGATGGTTGATATGTCTGCCACTTTGGGGGCCAGCCAGTTAATTTCAATTCCTTCCCTGGTTTATCTGTTGTCCTTGTTGGGCTTTGCGTTTTTTCTAAAGCACATACTATCTTCTAACATATTATGGAACTTGCTTGTTTTACTCTGTACTGTCTGTCTCTACCCCTCTAGAGTGTAAACATCCAGAAGGCAGGGATTTTTGCCTGTTTTGTTGAGTGGTGTATCTCCGGTACCTACAACATTACCTGATAATACACATTTATTGAATTGCTAGATTTAATTAACTACTTTGATATATGGTCCTGGAGATTCCTGGGCTACCAAAGCTCCTTCTCAGCGGAGCTTCCTGGTGTGGCATGTTAGAGAAGAGGCCAGAAAAAACAGACCTTTCACTTGCTCTCAGGTAGTGAAGGAACTGTGGTTGCCTGGGCACAATCATTACTGTTTATTGCACCATGCTGCACATCTCGAAACTTAAAGATGTAAGAAGTCTCGCACAGCCAGGGTTTACCTCACAATCCTTCCCACCCAATTATAAGCCTTTGTGTCAGGGTTTGGAGGTGTCTTCAAGAACACCTGTTGTTTCCTTTCCTCACAGGCAAGTCAGAGAGTCCCAGAGGCACACAGCTGAACAAGCCCTCAGAGATCACATGGTCTGTTCACGCTCCATGGGAACACACACTTCCCTGGAGTCCTGTAGCCAAATCATTTGGAGACCTTCTGAAACTTCTCTGACTTCCTCTGTCTCAAAGAACCCTATGTGCCTCTAGTTGAGAAATATTCTTGTAGAGATTCTAGGTTATTCTTTTTTTTTTTTTTTTTGAAAACTTGTTTTCTAGATTCTAGGTTATTCTTATGAGAATGTTATGTTCCTCAGGTGGGTCGGGGCAGAAAATGATTGAGAACTAGTCTAGTCCAGTGGCTTTTCTTTGGTAACCGAACCCACAGAAGAGGAAAATAACAGCTCCCCTTTTCTGAGTGTCATAGACCAACCATTATGCTATTTACCTGATATACTTATGATTTAATTCTCATCCTTTGAGATTTTGTATCGTTATTACCACTTTACAGATAAGGAAACAAGGGTTGGCTGGGTATGGTGACTCACACCTGTAATCCCAGCACTTCGAGAGGCCAAGGCGGGAGGAACGCTTGAGCTCAGGAGTTCAAGATCAGCTTAGGCATCAAAATGAGACCTCATCTCTCCCAAAAAAAAAAAAAAAAAAAAAAAAAATTAGCCAGGTGTGCTGGTGCATGCCTGTAGCCTGTAGTCCCAACTAATTTAGTAGGCTGAGGTGGGAGGATTGCTTGAGCCCAGCAGTTCAAGGCTGCAGTGAGCTATGACCACACTACTGCATTCCAGCCTGGCGACAAAGCAAGACCCTACCTCAAAAAAAGAAAAAACCAAACAAGGGCCTACAAAGTAACATATTCCAGGCCACATTGGTGTCACTTGGTAGAGGTTTTGATCTCTGAGAGAATCAAAATCTGTCATGTCATCGCAGATTGCAGAGTCAAGACTAGAATCGAGGCCTCCTGATCTCTATTTTGCTGTCTCCGTCATTCTGCGCTGTTAATACCACGAGAAACAAAAGAGACCTCGTCTGTCCTGTAGCACCTCGTGCCTGCCTGCGTATCTCTTGTTGATGCTCTGTTGGCTCAGGATCTCTCCTACCATCCTAGAGCTCTTTCAGAGCAGGACGCTTGTGTTATTCATTCCTTTGTTTCCCTGTGCCTGGTAAATAGCACGGATTCCAAGTGGCTGCCCTGTCATCATGGGTGTTTGTAAGGCCAGAGCCGGAGTCTTTGTTCTTAGGCTGTTCATTCATCCTTGGAGCCAAACATACTGTCTTAATCCTTGGCCCAAGCCAGGCCTCTACAGTTGTCCCACGGCTATGCTAAAATTTGTTCCACTTCACAAGTGATCATAGTCACAGACTCTGGGGACACGAATTTTGGGATGAAGACACATAGCAAAATATATAAATGTTTTTGCCCGGGTGCGGTGGCTCAAGCCTGTAATCCCAGCACTTTGGGAGGCTGAGGCGGGTGGATCACAAGGTCAAGAGATCGAGACCATCCTGGTCAACATGGTGAAACCCCATCTCTACTAAAAATACAAAAAATTAGCTGGGCATGGTGGCATGTGCCTATAATCCCAGCTACTCAGGAGGCTGAGGCAGGAGAATTGCCTGAACCCAGGAGGCGGAGGTTGTGGTGAGCCGAGATCGCGCCATTGCACTCCAGCCTGTGTAACAAGAGTGAAACTCCTTCTCAAAAAAAAAAAAAAAATATATATATATATATATATATATATATATATATATAAATGTTTTTGAGACTTGAGTAGCCTTAACGTCCATGTGACTGACAAATGACTCCCCAAAAAAAGGGCTACATTGCTGGCCTTGAAAGAGTATTGGAGATGCATATGAGACAGGGTCAGTGTCTAGGAATATCACACTCCCCCAAGAGTTGGTTGGAGTGTTTTTCCAGATTCCACCAGACTTCACAGAGAAATAGAGACCAGCTGTCCAAACATCTGGGATAATGGCATCCAAGGAGAAAAGGCAAGCGTCTTGATTGCCCGTGACATGGGCAACCAATTTGGATAGAAAAGAAGGTGTCAGAGTTTAACACTGGATTTAGACTTTATTTACCCAAAGCCTTTCTTTAATTCTAACACTCTCAAAAATGGGGTTCAGTCACCATTTGAGTTTCCCATGTTAATATACAGAGAGCTAATTCACTGTCTTTCATTGCTGTAATGCAGCAGTTCTATGATTCATTGTTAAACCCTGACTCCCTCCTAGGAGTCTGTGGGTCAGAACTGTATTTATAATATTACTAAGACATCACTTGCCATTTCAGCTCTTGTCTCATGAATGCATGGTGGAATTTTCCAGAGCTATATAATGTGTTGACATCATCACTGTGGCAGCTAATAAAATGTCTGCTTGTATATTTTTGTGTTTTATAAAATTCTGAGTTTTAATTTTAAATTAGTTGAAAATGGATAGACCTAACCTGTATAAACAGAAGCTTTTTGGCATCCTCAATAATTGAGCATAAAGGGATTCTGTGACCAAAAAAGTTTGAGAACCATGTATGTAAAATAGTCATATGGCTGTATTACAGACAGCATGCATGGAATTGAAAACACCCACGTTCAAGATGGCGGTTCCCCCGGTAGAGATGAAGGGCTCTGGGTCTGGGAGGTGGATGCAGGTGTCACTTGAACTAAACAGCTTTATGACTTTCTGTCAGATTTCTTAGACTGAGTAGTGAGATCGTGGGAACCTACTTCTCACAGGCCTGAAATACTTCACAGTAAGCATTTTAAGTCTACTTCATAGCATGAAACCTGTTTTACACCTGTGCCCATTAAGAAAAAAAGGCACCCTATAAATGATTTAATATTTACTGGGGGAAAATATAGCTTTCCATTGGAGACCTGGCAGTCACCTCTTAACCAGCCTACAGTCTACATTCAGTTGGCCTGAATTCTTCACACACGCAACATCCTTATCAATGAAAAATTTTTAAATAGCTTCACATTCTAGCTTAGCTTGAAGGAAAGTAAGCAGACGGCACAACCAAATGTAATGCATGAGTAGACCCTGCATCCCAAAAAATCAATCATTTTGTTAAAATTGAGTCTTTTTTTTTTTTTTTTAGACAGTCTCGTTCTATCGCCCAGGCTGGAGTACTGTGGCGTGATCTCAGCTCACTGCAACCTCTGCCTCCCAGGTTCAGGTGATTCTCCTGCCTCAGCCTCCCAAGTAGCTGGGACTACAGGTGCATGCCACCACACCTGGCTAATTTTTGTGGTTTTAGTAGAGATAGGGTTTCGCCATGTTAGCCAGGCTGGTCTCGAACTCCTGACCTCAGGTGATCCACCTACCTTGGCCTCCCAAAGTGCTGGGACAACAGGCATGAGCCACCGTGCCTGGCTGGGTGGCTTTTAATATGGATTCTGCATTAGATTTTTAAGTAAATTGTTGGTTTTCTTTGTCGTAAGAAATGTATACCAAAGTCCCTAGGATTGAAGTATCTTGGTATCTACAGCTAACTTTCAGATGGCTCAGGGGAAAGACAGAGATAATTCACAAGCAGCAAATGTTAACCACGGGCAGGTTTAGTGAAAGGTACAAGAACATCCCTTGTATATTCCTGTAAGTTTGAAATTGTTCAGAATAAAAAGTTGGAGGGAAAAACAGCTTCAAAATAGTAGGTAAAAGCTGGAGTTGGGTTTTGCTGCATTGCCAACTGGAGCAGAAAAGCCTTACTGCACGACAGAACATCAGGTTGCTGTCTAGTCCAGGCTCCACTGCAGATCAGCCACGGGCATTGGGCAGGTTACTCCCTTCTCCAGGCCTACTTCCTCAGACAATTACTGCAGAATGCTTTTCAGCTCTGACGAGGCTGTGATTCCAAGCTTCTCTGTTTCTCAATTACTGAATTGGGACATGGCAACGTGGGTGTGCTTCCTCGTTCCCCTGGAGTAGGTGTTGAGAAGTGATGAGGCCATGGGGACTGAAGTCCCCCCACCCAGCACTCTGCCTTTGCTGACACTCTTCCCTCTGCTTGAAATGGTTCTTTATTTCCTCTTGAAATCGTGGTAGCATCCCTTGGGTCCCTCGGGCAGAACTAAATGCCCTCCTCTTGTGACACTTT